CTTATTTCCATCATGCTCAGTCTTCATCTGGTATATCCACTTGTTGTGTAATGCCTTCTTCCCTGGTGGAAGTTCTGTCAGCTCCCACTTGCTCGAACTTTTATCTTGCAAGATTTCTTCATAGCTCTTTCGTTCTCCAACATCCGCCTATGGAACAATAGGAATGGGTGCCCAGGACCCACTATCCTCTTCACTTCCATCATCAACAGAACTATGAATTGTCAGTAATAGTGCATCATGTGCTTCTTCAAATATCACATTTGTGCTATCATTCTCCATCTTCTTGAGATTTTTTCAGTTTCTCCTTATGTGGTCAGCCTTGCCACAATTCCAGCAGGTTGTCTGCTGACCAGAATTTGATTTTGATCTGCCTTTATTTGAGTTCCTTTCCTGTGATCTCCCTCTGAAATCAACTTTCAGTACTAAACTCGTACCTGAGATCTCGTCAGAATCTTTTCTGCACACTTCCTCAGCCAAAATCAAATCTCGAATATCATCGCATTTCAGTTTAGATTTACCTGCAGAACTTTTAATTGACATTCTCATGGCTTCCCAACTATTTAGCAATGATGCCAACTGTATCAACGCACGTATCTCATCATCAAAATTAATTTCAACAGATGAAAATTGAAAATTGATTTGTGATAGTATATAGTATTGAAATCATTCAGGTGTTGAGCAACATAAACATCTTCCACCATCTTCAAGTTGAATAACTTCTTTATCAAGTACACATTGCTATTCGCCAATGGATTTTCGTACATACCTGATAAGACTTCCATGAGATCTACAATAGTCCTTTTCTTGACGACGTTGTGTGCAACGAACCTCGATAGGGTCAATCGAATAACCCCAATAACTTGTCGATCCAATAAATTCCATCCAGCCTCATCCATCCTTTCAATTCTTTTCCTCAATAATGGAAGATGAAGTTTTCTCCCATAAAGATAATTCTCTATCTGCATTCTCCATTAACCAAAATCTGTGTGATCAAAATTCTTGATCCCTGAAACCTTTACTTCATCTGTAGCCATCATTCTTCCTCAGATCCGAACCTGTCTCTGATACCGGTTGTTGTTGCGAGATCTAGATATATACACCAGTTGTTGTGGTATATATATAAATCAAACAGGAGAAGATCGACGAAACAAAAAAGAAAACGAGAAAAAATTCACACAAAAAATAGTAACACAACGGAACACACAGATTTGTGTGGACGGCAAATTGCCTATCTCCACGGAGTTGTAGAGGATTTTAATACTTGAGGAACTTACAATAGTCGATCACCTCAACTTACAAGAGGAGTCTCGCACTCTCACTTCATTGATCTCTCTTCTTCTCTATCTTTTCTTCTCTCTCTACATTGAGATACATCGAAGAAACCTTACACCGAGATACACCAAAGAAGATAAACTTACAAGAGAAATAAACCCCATTTCTCTTCTACCACAAGCCACCTAGAAGAAGTCAAGGGAGAACAATCTTCTTCTTCTTCTTTCTTCTTCCTTCTTCTTCCTCTACTGCAAGGAACTACTCCTCCTTGCACTTCTCCATTGTCCCGTAGAAGCCCGAAGAACTCTTCCTCCATCGTGAGAAAGGCTTTATCCTAAGGAAACCCGAAGAAGAAACACAAAATCACGACTTCTAAAAAAATTGAAGGAGCCGTGCGATTCGTTTTATCACGAACAGGAGGGGAGCAAAGGGATGCTTCGCTTCATAACAGAGGAAGGAGGGAGCGGTTGATGCTTACGGTTCGCGATTGGGCGAAGCGAAGCAAAGCTTCGCGCTTGCGGGAGCAGACGGAGCCGCCGATTTGCGAAAACAACCGAAGCTTCACTTTGGTTCGCGATCGGGAGGCGGTAAAACGGACTCCGACGCTTAACACTACTTGTAGAAAAGAAGCATAAAACAAGAAAATCAGAACTATGATGATGAATCCAAAGAAAGGCAAGTAAGATCGAGCAGTAAATCCTTCGACACCTCAAAAGTTTTTTTTTTCGGGGAAGAGGAAAATAAAAACACTTTGCCATTAAACCAAACATAAAGACAAAGAATTCACTAAAAGAAGGTTCCATAAGACAATTGCAGAAAACGGGAGAGGGAGAGAATTCCACCTTCAAGCAATGTAAACTTCTGGAAGGATTAAAGGAAGTGACAAACAAAGGCTTTGAATCAAATTAGGAGTTGAGAGAGTGTTGAACTGAGATTTCTCTCTTTATCAATTCATAAGAAATACATAATACTCTTAGGCCCAAATGATCAAAGGAGAAGAAGAACAAGGAGCACCGAGCGTATGTTGTGACAAAGAAGGAATATCTGAAATTCTTCCTTGGCGCACGAATCAAAAAATCCCAACCGCGAAATCCTTCCCTAAGGGGGTATTTATAGCCGGAGAAGGGGGAATTGCTTACCGACAAAGCTACCGCCAGTGAAGACCGGCACTTAGGGGAATACGCCAAGGAGGGCAAGAAACCGACCAAGATTGACAAGGAATGTACTCGGACTAGTTTGGGCGGGACGTATTACCGACAAAGCAACCGGTGACGAGGATCGACTAGGGCCGACGAGGAAGGAGATGACCATAGAACCGGAAGGAAGCTTCAAGATTTGGTCAAGAGAGGAGAGGGGGGGGGGGGGATGGTTCGGCTAGGGCATGAAAAAGAACACGTAGGTGGGGAAAAAGAAAATAATGCTTGAGTTTTATATTTCTTCCCCTTTCTCTTATTTAATTAAATTTACTAAACAAAAACAATATTATTTTATTCAAAATTTATCAATTTATGCACAACTTAATCCAACTCGGAACCCTATCAAGATATATGTCTTTCCCGGCTAAAATCGACGTCCCGGACGCACCGACGCGGTCCGTTTTGTCATCTGAGGTCTCCCGGAAAAGTTTGTCAAATATCGTAACAATTTAACTTTAATTCACGCACATCGCGGCAAAATAAGTTATTTTGGTCAAATCAGAGTCATTTAATGAGCAAATTGGTGATCGATTCTCGCATAAACGACAAGTATAGTCAAACATATTGCTCTCGGCAGAAAGTCAAACGTCGGATGGCGTGGGGTCCCTTTATGACTTTCAAACCCTATGGAAACTCAACTTGAGCTTCAATATGTCAGCTTTAATCGATTCAACTGGACGCCAAGGATTAGAAATCGTCCATATGAAACTTCAAGGAGAGAAGAAATAACTTGAATTTTTAAATATTGTAGGTCCTGGTCTAGTCCTCTAGGAGAGTCAAAATAGAAAAATCCTAAGGAGTCAAAATAGAAAAAAAAAATCCTAAGGCTAGATCCTAGGGTATCTATAGAAAGAGAAAGGAAGACATAAAAAATGAGGTCAACAATTGTATGAAGTATACTAAAGCTTAAGAGATTACACCTTGAATAATAAAGTAAGAGAATATATGTAAAATTTTTAGATTTCTTTCATTAGTGAATATCATGAATATATGATATAATTTATTATATGATTTTCTAGAATATATTTTGAGAAACCAACATACATATTGTTTTTATTTCTTATGTTACTATAGTTCAGAAGTGTGATTACTCTACTTAGTTATCTTAGATAACTCATTATATTATTTTAATATTTTTTAGGTTTAAACTTTTGAATAAAATCAATACTAGAGAATATCTTGTGTATATAAGGCGAGGTCATCAACATGAAAGGTAAACCTTTATTTGGTCAATTAAATTATTTTTCTTTAATTGAACTTTTAATTTATTCATATTGTAAACTATCAGTGACAAAAAAAAAGATTTCACCGTCTAGTAGTCTATTCCCTTCTTAGAAATTTCAATCTTCAGACCAGATCATGATAGATACCATTCCAAAATTATGTATTTACATATATCACACCTAAATATTCAAATTTGTACATTTAACAAAAAATAAAATCTATTAAAACATATATGATTTAGTTGAATGAAACAAATATGATGAAGAGCACTAAGCAAAGTGCTAATGTAACTTTAGAAGAGCAGTGTACAAAGGTACAAATAGTATAGTAGGTTAGCACACTCACTTAGTTCATGTGAACAAAGGGTAGAAATGGTGTTGTTGGTTTTGTCAGAGGATGATGTCGTTTTATTGGAGCATGGTATATAATTGAAACTGATGAGATTTTAAGCATAAGATGAAGATGGTTCACAATTGGATGAGAGGATATATTAGGGCACTCACTTGGTTTTAGTGAAGAACAAAGATGAAATGTCTTTGTGGCTTTTAATGGAAGCCAATGACGTTCTATTCGAGCATGAAAGAAAAATAATATTTGTGCAATTTCAAGTGGAGGAGGGAGATACCTTTGAATTGGACGAGAAATATGTTAGACTCACTTGGTTTGGGAGAAAGAGGGAGATCACATGTTGCTGAAGCTTTTAATGGAGAAGCGATGTTCAAAAGGTGCATAAAATGATGAAGATGCAGCAGTTTCAGGTGGACAAGAGAGACATTTTGCGGACAAGGGGAGAACCTCACGTGCGAGAATTTTTGCGAAGTAGTTGATGAAGTAGATAATATTATATTTGGCTAAAAAAGTAGTTTCATGCGCACTTATGTAAATATATATGCTTAGGTGTGAGATATATAAATACAAAACTTTGAGGTACTACTTTTTCAAGCTTGTAATCATCTATAATATACTTTCTTAGGCATTGTAATTATATTATGAACTTTTTTTATGTTATATATTAGAGCTGAAATTATTATATTTTTAATTTTTCTCTTTTTTGCTATATTCCTGTTTTTTTAAATAAATATAATGCACTCATTTCGGCCATCTTTTACAGATCGACACCTTGCGTTCGCTAGGCCCCATCCGTTGTGGGCTTCTAAAACTATGGTAGGCTGGCATGGCCTCGAGTCCACTGGTACATTAAATGGGCTTAGTCTAGTTTGCCAAAACATTGCATCTGAAGGGAAACCGGCTCCCAGTATAATCGATTCCTCGGTGTTGCCCTAGCTACGCGGACTATATATTCCTAAAATCCTCTCATTCCCAAACAATCGAGCTCTCTAACCCTCGCTCTCGCTGCTGCGGCTCCCATAATTCGCTTGGTCGCAGAGGCTCTCGCTTTTCTCAATATGGGGTAAGAATTATCTAGTTTCTTCTCGGCCATATATTCTCTTACGCTTTTCTCTGCGCAGTTAAATAAGATATCGGACGTCGTATTCTGTATTTGATTTGATCTCAGGGGACAAAAAAGAATTTGTTTTTGTTCAACAAAAAGTTTAGATTTGAATCTGAATCTATGCATATCTTTTGATTGATTCGGTAGCCAATATATTGTTTTGGAGAAATCTTTAGACCCGTCTGCATACCTTATGCGGAATTTGGCCGTATTTTTCCTTTCGTTTTTGTTCAACAATGTCTCTGGTATGGGATAAAGGCTTATTGTTGTTGTTGTGGGATTAAATCCTTTAGGGAAGCAAACATTACAAGTATTTTTTTTAATCTTGGTACTATTCTGCTCTGTGTTTTCCTTTTTATGGTTCTTATTTGTACTTATTTATTAATGATCTTGAAAAATACTGATGTTAATTGGTTTTTTTAAGTCCCGCTATATTGCACTGGCTCACAAATTCTTTGTAGAGTTGGCTTCTTTTCCACTTCAATTGTGATATGTTATGAAGTGTTTTTTTGAACATACACTATTAGCTAAAAAATTCCAAATTATTTGGAAATTTTAAAGCTCTTGCTCTGTGGATGTTGAATATCTCAATATTTGGGCACATTATCATTAATACATGTTGCTAATTTTTAAAATTATTTCAGGATAATTTCATTTTATTCTTGTGTTCATGTTTTAATTTTTTTAAAAAAGTTAATTTTGGAATGACAATTTTTGGCTTTGAAGGATTATTTTGTAAGCTGTTCGTTGAAATTTTCTTTGTATGCTTATTAACGGTCCTGTGCTGATTCACAATTGACTATCAGCGCTTAACATTTTCATAAGCTACATAAATATTGTTGCGTCATGTATCTGGAAATCCTTGATGTATTATTATTTTTTTGGGTTAGATACATGCTAGCATACATTATGTGCTTTCATATGCATGGGCTTTTTGTAGTTAAGCTGGTATAGTTTTACTCTTCATATTTTTCTCCATGCATTCATGTGCATCTGTGTCTCTTTTTTGTGGTTCAGTTTGAGTTCTGCTTTGGCATTTAATAATATATATATAACTCTGTGCTTATTTTTCTACCAGTACTTTCTGTGCATTTACATGATATATCCTGCATGTTCATTTCATTTTAATAGTTTTGGTTGGCGGTACTGGTTGTTCTTTTTTTATTAATGGTAAGTAAAATTTTATCAAATAATCCTATCATTTATTTTGCCTCTGAATAAAACTTTTAATTGCAGGAAAACACGTGGTATGGGAGCTGGTCGAAAACTGAAGACCCATAGAAGAAATCAGAGGTGGGCAGACAAATCATACAAGAAAAGTCACCTTGGAAATGAATGGAAGAAGCCTTTTGCAGGATCTTCTCATGCAAAAGGCATTGTGTTGGAAAAAATGTGAGTGCTCTTTTAATTTAATTTTGTACTTCCAATATAATTTCCGCTAACATGCAAGTGTGTGCTTTCCACCACAGTGGCATTGAGGCTAAGCAACCCAACTCTGCTATCAGAAAATGTGCTAGGGTTCAATTGATCAAGAATGGCAAAAAGATTGCAGCCTTTGTTCCAAATGATGGTTGTTTGAACTACATTGAGGAAAATGTAAGCCCATGCTTCCTTAAGGTTTATTTAAATTTATTTTTAATATTAAAACTTTTTGGTTTGTCTATGTTTTGTGTTCCCTAATTGCTTTTATTTGTGGTATTAAAGCCTTCTATCAACCTAGTCTTTTTGATGTATTACCTGTTCATCACACCTGATCTGCTCCACATTGTGATCATGTAAACCATTTTATGGTTGTGAGCCCAACATATATGTTTCCATCGCTCCGACTTGCCCTTCCAGCATTGTTGCAAACCTAGAACACCATCTGCTTCCTCTGCTTACCTTATACACTCAAGCTGTTGCAAACCTACAACACCATCTGCTTGCCTTATACACTCAAGTTGTGGCTGCAACTCAGTCTTCACATGTACACTTCTTGCATTCTAAGATTGGAACTAAGGGTCTGTTTTGCACAACTTTTTGCCTGTTTTGCATTTTAGAATGCCATCACAATTCTGAACAGGGAATTGCTTTTTAGAAGTTTTTGCTATTAGAAGTTACTTATTGCAACCAAATCTGTTGAAGTTTGGTGGCTGCACGAAAGTTTTGTAAATATTTATAATTCACACTGTAATCTTTTTAGGAAGTTACTTTCCTCAACATAATTTTACAATTATCTTTATAAAAGCTGCAGCCATCCCAAACGGATCTTTAATCATCCACGATTTTACCTTTTAGCCACATCATAGACCTCCCCATACATTGCATGTGATCTTTCCATTGTTAGTCATAGTGCATGTCTACTCCTTTGGCTTGACTGTTGATCATTGCATCTATTATCATTCTACCATTGTCACCTTCCCATCATTTTTAACACTCTTTGTTTAATCAAAATGTATAATGATTGATTATTTTAGATTAACCAATAAAGATTACCTTGGTGACCTTAAAGGTGTTCTCGATTATATCAATTAGAAAATGATTGTCATCATTTATTTTACTCAAACTCAAATGTAATTTTCATCTTATGCACATTGTTGAATAATCGTGATAAGAAGTTATTAGAATGGATGTATAATTAGTTGGTGTTGAATTTGCTACAATAAATCAAAGAAAAATAATTTTGAGTTCTCTTCATTCTAGATGAATTATGGTATTTTCTTTTTTTCAAAATAAGTAGCACTGTGTTGGTAATTTCGATAAGATGAATGAAAATTCAGTCTTTCGAGTTTTGTTGATATTCTTGAGAAATTAATGGAAGATTTTTTTGCTGTTATTGGTTATTTTTGGGAATTTTTTTTACGTTGTATCACTTAGAGATGCCATTTTACATTAGTCTCTTTACATTGAGATGGATTTTCCATTCATTTTCCTTCTTATAGATAAATATTCGGAAATGTCATTATGATAGGTGACTGTTCATGTTTCCTCCAATAGCATTTCACTTCTGCGAGGCAGGAGGTCATTGACTTTTTATATATGTGAGGAGATTTGTGAACTTTTGTTTATGTGTGTGTGTGTGTGTGTGTGTGTGTGTGTGTGTGTGTGAGGATTAGGTGAATAAGAGAGAAAAGAGAAGAAATAGATGCAGAATTGTGGGTAAGGCAAACAATAGATGGCAAAGAAGGATTTTGGAGGAAATACATTGTATTCATCCTCCAATATTTCTGAGCTTTATGTTGAGGATCGACTTATATTGAGGGAACGGTTAGTTCTTTATTCATATGTTTAGTAAAACTTGAAAAGATAGTAAAAGCAAAAATTTTCAAATAAATATAATCAAAATTTTTGTGCTGTATCAATTATCTCAGCATTAAGAAAATTTATTTCACAGCTATAATTTTACTGGAGTAGATACATAAGGTCATTGCTTATATTGAATATTTGCAATATTTATCTTGAAGATGAGGGACAAATAAGTTGCTGCTGGAGATTAAGGAAACATTCTTCCTTGGTTGAAGAGAGGGTGAAAAACCCAAAGTCATCAATAATAATATAGACAAAATTTGCCATAAAACCTCAGAACATCATTAAAATTCAGAAAATAATCCTTTGATGCCAAGATATGAGTAGTCTCTTTATTCTTAACCAAGGTTTGTTGTTGGCAAATTCAATACTTATTTTTTTTACTATACACTTAAATAATATATTTTTTCTTTGCTTTAAATGAAATTACAACTAAAATTGAAAATTGTATAAGTAAATTTAAATATAATCCTAATCTAACTGCATCAAAATGTTCTTTAACTTCAAATGAGCTAAGAAATACGGCTTATCTTGTACAGGATGAAGTATTGATTGCTGGATTTGGTCGTAAAGGGCATGCTGTGGGAGATATTCCCGGAGTTAGGTTCAAGGTTGTGAAGGTTTCTGGTGTGTCTCTCTTGGCTCTTTTCAAAGAGAAGAAGGAAAAGCCCAGATCTTAGTCTGTTACGTCTTTCAATGTTTGGGGAACTTATTATTGATTAGCTTCATTGTGTTTTTACCCCTACTTTTTAACTTTTTCTTTAAGATCTATCTATTAAAGAGACAGTTTTGGAATTTTTTCCTTCTCTTTTTGGAACAGATGCTAGCATATGTTGAATTTGTTTATCGAAGTTTTGTTGATTTGATAAATAGTGACATTGCGTTACAATTTCTCTAATTACTTTTTGAAAGATTTACATACATACCAAGCCACCCAATGTCCATGCATAACATATCTAACACCTAAACTTTTACATACATGCCACTTTACCCATGCTTGGAACGGTGTATTTTATTTATTTAAAAGTTAAAATAGTGGTATTTTTAATCTGATATGAAGGATTTTGGTGTAGAAATGCAGAAGACAAAGTTTAGGTGTTATGTAAATACATATGAATGACGGTATGTATGTAAATGCCCCTTTTTTTTGTTCTGCATTGATATCTTAACTTTTTCACTTTCCTGTGATGTGATCAAGTTTATTCATAGAGGTATTTAAATGCTTAGCACACAATTTTTTATGTATTTACATCTCTACATTTTAATTTGATTTTTTTCATTTATTATATTCAAATCTTTTCTATTCCATTAAAAAATGTGCTATGGCTACTTTTTGTACCTTTTTATACAAGTTTAGGTGTTATATATCTGAATACATAGAAATTGTGCAGTATGTATGCAGATCTTCCTTTATTCTATTATTCAAATGATTGTAAAATTTATTAACGGCTATTTGTTTGTTAGTATCATTTTTTGTTGTTGTTTCTGTTTGCTTGAAATTACAACAAAAGTTGGCCATTCACTTGTAAATTGAGCTTAAGATGAAGAGTACAGTTTTTAAGGGCGCGAAGTGAAGTTCCACTGTTACTTTAGTGCGTATGGATCTGTGATTTAACTAATGATTCAAGTATGTTGAATACAAGCTGAATTTATTTGATTTTTGATATGATTATTCGTTTTGATGCAGTCTAGAAATGCTTGCATTATTACTTCTTTATTGCATCAATATAATTTTGGAATATTTACAATACATACCTCAACTCTCTTAACTAGTTACACATCCAACAACTAAAGCTGTTCATATTTACATTAACAACAATTTGGTGTCAAATTTATGCATGAAACTGTGTATTTTATTTTTAAAAAAGTAGATGAAAGTTGCATTTTTGATGTGCAATGGACGAGAATGCATCCATTGGAGAAGCTATGTAAACCAACATGGTTAAATAAGATGTAGCTTGATAAAGTAAACTTATTTATTAAAATTGTAACAATAAAGTCACATTTACTAAGCTCGATTAGCTTTGTTTAAGATTTATTAATCACAATTTGAAGATATTTGAGCTGAGCTCAAACCACTCACACAAACATTTAGTATACAATCTCGAGCCTAAGCACTATTAGAAAAGTTCGAATCGAGCATGAGCCAAATTTGAAGAAGCTTTTGACAAATGAACTTGAGCTCTAACAATCTTTTGCTTGGCTTTGCTCAATTCTTTTGTAGTCCTATTTGATTTTATATATTTTTTATAGTAAATATGGACAGTCTTTAGGAAATAAGATACACAAATTATTTCTCTTCTTAACAAATATAAATACTCAAAATTATATTTTGAAATAGTACACAAATATTTTATATTTTTCTATGATTTCTATTTTTTTTGTTGATTCACTTGATTATTCATTTTTTTGATTTATTACCATATAAATAATTACAGATAAATTATATTATTAACTATCATGCAGTTAAAAACATCTTATCATAATGTTCTTAATCACATATCTGGTTGGTAAATTTAGTGTTCCTAAAGTTTTATTTATTTTACTATATTTATTAAAGTATGCTAATTATGTGTTAATTTTGATTTATTAGATAATTATCTTGTATTTAAAATATACCGATTTTTTTTTCTCAGTAAATTTATTGATGTGTATGGGTTCATTTTATGGTATAATGTTATATATATATATATAGAAGCCGTGGGAGGGCAGCCCAAACTGCACAGCATATATATATATATATATATATATATGTTTAAACCTTTAATTCCCATACTACCTTGCCACTTCCCACCTGCATGGATAGCTAGCCAGCTGGTTATGGGGTCTTCAGGTAAACTAGGAGATCCCACCAATTGCTTGTTGGATTTTGCAGACGGGTCAACATACCATAATGTTAGCATTTTAGGATTTAATTTTATGGTCGTTATCCTATTCATGGTTTTAACTCACCCAGGCTTTAATTGTGTATTTATATGCGTGTAGCTGTGTATTTGGTAATGGAATAATATCACTTTCTGTCCTTCCTTTTACTTAAGCCGTTCTTCTTCTCTCACTATTTCCTCTACTGTTTCGTTTTTCGCTGCTCTTCAAGAAAGGTCAGGATTATTTCATGGTAGCAGAGACATTGCCTGACGACACCATGGATTTTTTGCCTCCAGTTCTTCCATCAACACTGCAACTCCCTCTATGATCTCCAATTTGCTGCCACGTGAACAACCCATTTCCACCAACAAGTTTTCTCATTGCTCATAGTAAGAGTATCATCTCTACTCCTCTACTCTAAATGCTGAAAATCAAACTGCCTGAAAGCTCAATTGTTGAATCTATTCATGCAAACGACTATGAAAGCTTCTTGACCGGGAGCTAACAACCACCATCCTCCATATTTTTTTATTATTGATGCAGTGAAGCTATCAATCCGGAATATACCCAATAGATGATTCTTGATCAAAATTTTGTTGTCTCCCTTTGTTCAATTATCTTCCCCAATTCTTCCATATGTTCTGAATTTAGAAACATGTGCGGCTACTTGGGCAACCGTTGATCGACTTATTCAATCAACCAATCAATTAAGAATAATTCAAATCAAGAATGAGCTACATCACCTCACATTGCGAGGGAAGACAATGACACAATATCTGTCCAATATCAAGTGTTGGAGCTATCATTAATCATGAAGTATAATTATCTACACTAGATATTGCCTTCTTTCCAATTATCATGGCTTCAAGACCGCTATAAGGACCAAGCTTCAACTTATCAATCTGGATAACCTTTACAAGCTTTTGTAGTTAAAAGCTAAATCTTGACCAAGAAATGGCAAAAGAATCACAACAATGTTCCCTTACAACACTAATAGCAAACTGTGGCAGAGGAAAATCTTGGAATCCAACTCAAGCTCTACATATGACACCAGTTTTTCAGCCAAACCATAATTCTACCATTGCCCTAGGGACATGTCCCACTACCTCGACCTTTAATACCTCTAAGTCCAAGATCATCTGCCAGATTCGTCACAAATCCGGCCACTTTGTCATTAAGTGTTGACATCGACATGACCCGAACTATCAATCTCCCATGGCTTTAATCACTAATTTTTACCAAAATTCAAATAATTCATGGGTTATGGATGGTGGAGCTTCTGAACACGTCATGGTTGATCCAAACCACACCTGAAAACCTCAAGAATACAAAGGAGACAACTCTACGGACAGAGGCTCCTACAAACTCTGACACGTAAGTTGTTACTCAGTGATTTTCATCATCTACCTAATTTTACTTACAATCTTCTATCAGTTCATAAACTTCTATTAACTCGTGCTATTACTATCACAGCTTATGGATATGCTATCAAGGATTTACAGACTAGCAAAACCATTTTATGGGATCATGTGTGTAAGGACTATAACCTATTCCACCATTAGACACTTCTTCAAAGAGATCTCTCGCTCTCCTTATTGGTCAAGTACCAACTTTTTGGCATAAAAGACTCGGTTATTCTAGTCGCCAAGTTCAGAATTTTTTTGCAAGTTGTATCTTTTATCTCTATCATCAACTTCAGAAATCCAGTAGTACTTCACGTTACCTGGCCAGGAGTTATAACCTACCATTCTCAGCTTATACTTTTCAAGCTTCTCAACCCTTACATATCATACATTATGATGTATGGGGATCATCCCCAACTCTTTTATTACAATCTTTCAAGTATTATGTTATCTTTATCATGATTACTCTTATTTTTCTTGGATTTACTTCCTTAAACATAAAAATGAAACTCTCGAAAATTTTATTGAGTTCATAGAACTTGTAGAAAATCAATTCAACGTTCACATTAAAATTCTTAAAAGGGATGGTGGTGGAGAGTACATTAATTATAACTTTAACACTCTCCTTAAAAAATGGAGCATTTCTCACCATTACATTTGTTCTTTCACTCCCGAATAAAATGGTGTTGTAGAAAGAAAACATCAACATTTTCTAGAAATGACTCATACTATGCTGAACAAGGTTTCCATACCTCAATATCACATGGGATGATACCATCCTAACTGCATGTTATTTAATCAATCGATTGCCTTCCAAAATAGCCTAATACAAATCTCCTTATGAACATCTTTATGGTAAAATCCTCACATATAACCACCTCAAAGTCTTGGGATGTTAATGCTTTTCCTGGCTTCATCCGTAATCACAACACAAACACTTCTCCCTTTCAAAACAATGTGATTTCATAGGATATGCCGCCACAAAAAAAAGATTATAAATGCCTAAAACCTCAAATAAATAAATCCACACTTCTAGGCATGTTATGTTTGATGAAACCATTTTACCATATCAATAAATGTCATCATTAACACTATCAAACCTCATACGACATCTCATCTACCTCCTCTTCTCTTAATCCCAACCTCCTCCATACACCCTCTCTCGAGTCGATCCAGAAGTCTTTCTACCTTACCAATTGAACTCTCCAATCAATATGTAACCTCCCCATCATCACAACCCACCAATATCCCTCCAATTTCCCATCCTTCCTCCTAATCGGGTTCGACTGTACATTCTTTACTCCCTCCCTCATTCCCAGCTCCTATTCCCAATCACCAAACGCTTACTCTCTCTCTAAAACTGGACACCGTAAGCCCAATCACCAAACGCTTGCTCCCCTCCTTCACCCACCAATTATATCTCTTTGATCTCACTTGTTATACCGAAGCTATCAAACAACATCACTGGAGGAAAGCTATGTCAAAAGAATTTCAATCCTTACAAGCAACAAAAACTTGGGTCCTAGTTCGTCCTTCTACTAACAAAAAATTTAGGATGTAATTAGAATTACAAGACAA